TCTGCTTAAAAACAACTTTCAGAGTCTTTCAGTTCCTCCTGTGTGGATCCCACAGCCATCACAACCTAAAGGTTTTCACCTTTGTGCATTCTCAGGAGTTTCTTAAAAGACTTTAAAGTAGCTCTTTCCCCACAAACAGATAAGGTTGGTCTTCCATGTGGATCTTCATGTGTCTCTTTAAACTAGACTTCAAGGCGAGTCTTTTTCCACAAATATCACAACTAAAGGGTCGTTCACCTTTGTGGCTTTTCATGTGTCTCTTTAAACTAGACTTTACGTTAAATCTTTTTCCACATTCATCACAAGCAAAGGCTTTTTCATCCTTGTGGATTCTCATGTGTGCCTTTAAATTAGACTTTATGCTAAATTTTAAACCACATTCATCACAACCAAAGGGTTTCTGTCCCGTGTGGACACTCATGTGTACCTTTAAATTAGACTTTAAGTTAAACCTTTTTCCACAGACATCACAACCAAAAGGTTTCTCACCTCTGTGGATCCTCATGTGTCTCTTTAAACATAGCTGTAAGGAAAATCTTTTTCCACAGTCATCACAACTATAGGGTTTTTCTTGTGTGTGGATTCTCATATGCGTTTTCAAATGTGACTTTATGCTAAATCTTTTCCCACAGACATCACAGCCAAATGGTTTTTCTCCTGTGTGGATTCTCATGTGTCTTTTTAAAGCTGACCTTTGGGAAAATCTTGTTTCACAATCATCACAACGAAACGGTTTTTCTCCTGTGTGAACTCTCATGTGTGTCTTTAAATGTGAGTTTAAGGTAAATCTTTTCCCACATATATCACAGCCAAATGGTTTCTCTCCTGTGTGGCCTCTCATGTGTCTGTTTAAAGATGCACTTAGGGAAAATCTTTTTCCACAATCCTCACAACAAAATGGTTTCTCTCCTGTGTGAACTCGTGTGTGTTTCTTTAAATCTGAACTTGAATTAAATGTTTTCCCACAGAAATCACAGGATAACGATTTCTCTCCTGTGTGGATTTTTGTGTGATTGTATAAAGATGACTTTAAGGAAAATCTTTTCCCACAAGAATCGCAACCAAATGGTTTTTCATCAAATTCAACTTTTGCACTTTTGCTTAAATGTGATTTTTGATTAAAGCCTTCAGTTTCAGAGTCAGACAATGGTCTAAGCTGAGATTCATGACAGTTCCAATCATCATCATTGTCCTCTTCATCATCTTCATCCTCCTCATCATCCTCATCAGTCTCTGAATGGCTCAAAGTTCCTCCAGGTGTATTTATATCTGGGTTCCTGCTGGACTCTGCTGCTCCACAGATCTCCACCTCAATTTCTGCTTTTATCTGGTTGCCTGAGCTGCTGGTTGGAAGATCTCCACTTTCTGTTTGGTGCTGATGAAGCTGAGACGTCACTGGTTTCTCTTCATCATCCTCACTATTTACATAAACAATATTTAATGGAAACCTGGAATAATCAGGCTCTTCCTTCACTCTGAGCAGCTTCTCTTCATGACTGGAGCAGATTTTACTATTTTCCTCCTGGGTGTGGAGAGGATCCACATCAGGACTCGGTTCTTCTGGAGGCTCTTCTTTAACATCTGCAGAAAACGAAACACATGACATGCATTATGAACAACTTTATTCTGACACAGTCACAAAGATGCGAAATATGAAAATTTAATAGCCGTCAACAGTTCCGAAGTTTATCTGCCTTTATTTCTATTAGATACATAGAAATAAAACAAACCATTTGAAGTTCAGACAGAAGAGAACAGATGCACCACACTGTTAGCTGCAGAGGAAACACACACACACACACACCCTTACTGGTGATCGAAGCTGCAGTAGATGGAAACCTGCCATCCGTCTCCTCCTTCACCCTGAGCTGCTCTCCTTCCTGACTCACACAGAGTTCCTCCTCTTCCTCCTTTATCTGGAGGCGCAGCGCCTCCTGCTGGTCCATATCAGTACTCTGGTCTGCAGGAAAAACAGATATTTTGAGCAACTTTTACTTTATGGTTCTCACGTGGTAAAGACTCAAATTAAAAAAGAAAAAGTAATTCCCTTCCCTTTCCAGGGAAACAGATGGTTCGGGAAGTAGACGTTGCTAATTTGAATGTAGCACTTATTTAGCAACATTACCCATGTTACTGTTAACATTTTCTTCTGCGCATTTTAAAGCATAACATTAGAAAACATTGATGGGAAACTTCAAAATTTGTAACAAACTAATGTAAAAGTTTTTAGATTAGTTTGAGGTGGTTTTGGCTTTAATGAAAACAGTTACCATGAGCTAAAGAGCATAGCAAATGTTTCCACCCACTGCCTTACCAGAGGCACAAAACTCTGGATTTTTTTTTTTATCCGTGTGATAAAATAAGTGCTGTGAACATTGTGGATGTATTAATATATAGTTTATATCAGTTTAAGGTATATGCAAGCTTTTTCAAATCCCAAATGATGCAACATTTAATCCCATGAAAATGAAAACCTCGGCCTTAGTGAGACTGTAGAGATGTTTGCTTCTCCTCCCAGCAGAGGGCGCACATACGATACAAACATGACAAGACTAGAGTTTTCAGAGTGCAGAATAATAATGTGGCTGTTTTTCATTAGTCCTGTCAAGATTCACTAATTTATACATTATTTCATTTTTAGGTTATTTTTCATCTCTTCTGACAAACAACCATAGCTTCACATCAGGGAGCTCAACTATAGTAAACAGTAGATATCCTCACTGAAAGTACTTTAATCTGTCCTGACACATACAGATTACCTAAAGTAAGCATTGCTTTGATCATTTGATCATTTTTAGTTAATCTGATTGGAAAAACCATTGATTTTCATAAACTGATGTCGTTTATATAGTTGCTAATAACTATATTTTTGTCTGATATTTTTTACAATTTTTTTCCTACATTTTATTGAGCAAAAACACTCCTGAAGTATTGCTACTTTTATTTCAGTACAATGTTTTGATACTTTAGACCATAAGTTAAGATATCTTGAGATATTATTCTTACTCGTCAACATATTAATAAAGATAAATGAAATTACTTTTCCGGACAGTAAATGTGTAGTTGTGTATAGACAAAATGCATTTTTCCATATCTAGCATGTAATCTCGCAATTTCAGACGAAACCGATTTTATACTAAAAAGGCCTGCCATAATACATCTTCTGTACCGTAATACACCAACTATTAGCGCATCTGAATCCACCTGCGACGTCGCAGCATGTATCTCGGCCTCGGCTCGCTTCACCGCAGTCAGATGAAGCTACTGTCGTTTTAAACCTCTAAATTAGTGAGCAGAAACTCCTGATTATGTTCCTACATCCATCAGCTGGCTACAAACGATCCTAAACTAGATCTATGAAGAAGGAAATGTACCAACCTGATGTGCGCAGCAGGACTCTGGTCTGGAAAACGTCCTCCATCTTGTGGCGTCTCTTCTTCCGCTGCTGGAGCTTCTGCTTCCCTCCAGCTGAGCCTCAAGCCGCAAACGTCCTTCCAGAATTCATCATCAACATCATCATCATCATGATTAGCCGCTGCTGCTTCTCTCCTTCAGCTCCAGTGACGCTCCCGCTGCTGACGAAACGAGAACAATGGAGGAAGAATCCTGAAGGGAGCACGAGGGGGCGGGCCAGTGAAACAGGAAGTCCGGAACAAAAAATTATAGTTCCGTTTTTACTCGTGTTTACAAACATTCCGTTCCAAAAATGATATTTAGTTAAACATTTGAACTAGGCACATGTAGCTATTTACAGGTTAAATAATAGCCACACGAGAAGTAAAATGAATGCCAACAATGATGTGAGAAATAATTTTATCTGCTTTACTTTTCTGTAAATTTGGATTTTTACTGGTAATAACATTTTTGTGGTTAAAAATTTAAGTTACCCATTGCCTGTTGAAATGCATGTAAGACGTCTGGGGCGAGGCGGTGCAGTGCTGTGCCTCACCTCTGGGGGCGCTGTGTAACAGGCAGTTAGTGCATGCTTATTGATATTGATTTAATATCACCAATATAGTTGTTTAAAAAGGAAGAAGTTAAGAATTGGAAGAATATGGTATGTATTTAAATAAGCTCACCTCTGTCTAATCTATTATCCCACTGTTCATTATATTGTGACCGTCAACATGTTTACACATCCTGCTCTCACACCAAACTAATTTTTGTAAATGTAAAGGTGTATATCATAACTAGACACTTTAAAGATGATGTGCACCAAAAATATTTTTGTTTATTTAAACGTACATTACTAGCCTCTTCTTTGGGAGGTTTGTGGCAGTCTTCTTCTCGCCAAGTTGCAACCAAGATATAATCAGCTCTGGTCATGTGATAATTTACTCAAACATGTGATACTGCATAATTATTATCCAAACACTCTAAACTTTCAATGTTTGCTGAACATTAACTGAAAATTTAATCAGGAAGCTTTTTAGAGTCCTTGACAGTGAAAAAAATTTCTTGGTCACTATTGTGACCGGTGGGGTCAAATGGGTTAAGATTAATTTTGAGTGTGGTTCTTGATCTGTTGGACTTAGTGATGGCCAGACAAAGCATACAACAATGTAGTTGTGAGAATAATGGAACCCTTACTGATTTTGATAGAGGTGGCTTAGACATGGACTATATGGGGAAGAGGGGCCATTTTCCACGCCTGATTTTGAATGCATACGATCAGTTCATGGGAAAAGAGGATGATCTCCCCCTTCAACAGTCATGCGGCACTCTGTTACCACCTGCAAAAGTTCATGATGAAGGGACAATTGTCTCTCTGATGTACCCTTTAAAAATAAAGAGGATCCTATTGAGGTTCTGACACAAGATGAGAAACTGCTGGTCCACTAGAAAAACAGCAATATTTTCATAATAGAAACAAAGATGAGAAAGAAATATACAGAGACTGATGTCAATAGATCAATGGACTCATGAGAGGTGTAGACCTAAAGCCCTCAAGGTTCAGTGTCATGGTCAGGTCCAAGAAGTGGTGGTGGCCCATCTCAAAAGCCCACTTGTAAACAGGGTGATGGTAGCCTAGGAGGTTGGAGTTTATCCTGTAACTGGTCGGTCGCCTGCTGGAAGCCCCACTTTGTCTGGGTCAGTCATCGTAACTTTGATCAAGAGGACAACTCACCCACCATGCCAGCTGGTGGTAGTCAGAGGACCTGGTGGTGCCAGTTAATTACACATGTTCTGCATTTGTTGATGTTTCACAGTCTGATGTATTTAATATATGATGTATTTAATATACACACTAATATATTGAATAAATTTTAGTGACATATTTAGTCTTTCTGGTCGGTCATAAAGGTGTATTGAAAACGCCCAGAGTGAAACAGAAAGTCCCGTGTCTGACTGATAGGGGGCAGTGCTGAGCACCATAGATATAACAGGTGTTCTACTCTTTGAAAAGATTGAAAACAATTAAATAGACGAAATACAGTTGGAAACGAACCATTCAAGGCCATTCTCGTCTTCTGCTTCCAGATTTTTAAATATGAAACAAAAACAAGACAGAAACAAGGATTTTGTTTTTAAACTGTGTCATATTTATGGAGAATTTTGGTGGACTTCATATGAAAATAAAGAATTTCAATCAGAGGGAGGTCGGCCACAGAAAACATTTATATTTTAAGAAATCAAATGTCTTTTTCTTTGTCATATCGCTGAACTGCATGGGAAGATTAAAGCACAATTACGTGTCTTAATGAGGTAAGGTCAAAACTGAAATATATGCTTCTGTAATGGATTGAAATGTTCAAATACAATAACCACATTATTTCTGATTAATGACAAACATCAATAAAAATGTCATACACAGAGCTGTGGGTCACATCAAAATCCTCAGGAAATCTTATCAAATTGAACAAAAACTAAATCCTCAGTATCACCATTAGAGTTTTATTAGCTCATGCAGTAAAAAAGAACAATTTCAAAGCAAACAATTTTTATTGATACTTTCATTCAACAAACAGTGCAGAAAATAGTAAAACTACCAATACAGACAGTTTTGGAGAGTTTAAAACATTAATTGGGATTTACTATGACAACAATAAATTGTAATTCTTGTAATAAGAAATTGATCACAAAAATATAGAATAAATCCCCAACACCAATGTTCACATATTTCTTTAAATTTGACTTTGAGGAAAATCTTTTTCCACAAACATCAAACTAAGTGAATTTTAGCATTTCTGTTAAAAAACAACTTTCTATGACTTTCAGAGTCTTTCAGTTCCTCCTGTGTGGATCCCACAGCCATCACAACCTAAAGGTTTTCACCTTTGTGCATTCTCAGGAGTTTCTTAAAA